CACTGCAGCCTCTGCTCCCAGGACGGCAGCCTGCAGTGCCCCACCTGCAAAGCTATCTACGGGGAGAAGACGGGGACGCAGCCGCCGGGGAAGATGGAGTTCCACCTCATCCCCCACTCACTGCCGGGCTTCGCGGACACCCAGACCATCCGCATCGTCTACGACATCCCCACGGGCATCCAGGTCTGGGCACCCGGCGGGCCGTCTGGGCCGACCCAACCCCTCTGCCGCGTCCAGGCCTCGCACCTGCCTGTGGCTTACGCCCCGCTGCCCCCCACAGGGCCCTGAGCACCCCAACCCCGGGAAGAAGTTCACAGCCAGAGGCTTCCCGCGCCACTGCTATCTGCCCAACAACGAGAAGGGCCGGAAGGTGGGTGACGGTGGGGCCGCAGGGCAGTGCGCACTGGGGTCCCTGTCGTCGCAGTCCCCCACCAGCACCAAGACAGCAGCATCGACCACAGCCACCTCCTTCACACCCCCTGTCCTCCTCCAGCTGCTGCGCTCTAGGCCTCCACCCACTTTACAGATAACAGGGCTTGAGACAGTGCAAGTAATGTGCCCAAGCCACACAGCCACTAAGTGGCGGACTCGGGATTTGAACCCAAGCAGTCCAGGCCTTCACAGCCATACTACAGAGTGTCTGATTTTACTTGTTTTTCTCGTGAAATCTCTAGGATTGTCTTTTTTTATATTGGCCAATAATCCACATAGTGTCTATTTTAATACAGTGTAGGGGCCACACCGAGGACAGCCAAGAGCTGCCAGTTATTTGTTTGTTTTGTTTTGTTTTTGGTACCGGAGAGTGAACTCAATTCCTTGTGCTTGTGAGGCAGGCAGTGGCACCACTGAGCTAAATCCCCGGCCCAAGAGCTGCCAGTTTGAGACCCTTCCTTCACCCCAGAAGAAACGGATGGTTTGGGAAGAGCTTGTGCTGAGAGAGCTGGGCGGGTGGGAGGCAGGAAACACAAACAGGAAGGAAGTGGCCAGGCCCAGTGAGCTCAGAGGTGCTAACGCGGGCTGCCCGTGGCCTGTGCCCGCCCTCAGGTTCTGCGGCTGCTCATCACGGCCTGGGAGCGGAGGCTCATCTTCACCGTTGGCACGTCCAACACCACCGGCGAGTCGGACACCGTGGTGTGGAACGAGATTCACCACAAGACCGAGTTTGGATCCAACCTCACGGGCCACGGCTACCCGGACGCCAGCTACCTAGACAACGTGCTGGCCGAGCTCACGGCCCAGGGTGTGTCCGAGGCCGTGGCCAAGGCCTGAGGCCCGAGTGTGCACACTGCCCTCCTGCTTTGCCCCTGGCTCGGCACACGCCTCCCTCCGCCAGGTGTGACCTGGCGTCCCCGGTTCGGGGCTGGGGAGGGCCCCGCACAAGGAGCTTCCGGGGATTTTCCTGGTGGTGGCTGGGGTGATGGGAGGCCGCCAGTTCTGTTGGCTCTGACCCACAGCTCCCTGAGAGGGCTGCAGAGAGGAGACCGGAAACCACAGCGACCCACCCCGCACACACAACACACGCCCTGGTGAACACATGTGAACCATGCACGCACACCCACGTGCCTCCACTCTCCCCCAGGCTGGGGAGGAGAGACAGAGACCTGATCTCTGTGCCCTGCCGCCTCCGTGAACACTGAGGGCCTCTGGGGCTCCCCGGGGACAGAGATCTTGGGGAGCTTGTCTCCCGGCGCTCACCCCGCTGCTTTATCTCTGCCGCCGTGGGGGGGGCAGACCATTGCATAGATTTACCCGGGGTGGGCCGGAGTGCGCAGGATGAGAGACACGTTATTTTGTGCCGCGTTCGTCTCTTCCTCCCCATCCCCACCCTCTCCGAGACCTCCCAACTTTGACATCCAAAGGCTGTCACTTCTGCCTTCAGGAGCAGGAGGAGGAGGACGCCTGGGTCAGGCCAGTGCATTGAAAGGGAGAGAGGACAGCGAAGAGTTAATTTCCCTCTCCTGGGGAGTGGGCCGTAGGGTGGCCCATGGTCTCTAGCCAACCAGGGGCCTGTTGCCCAGGCAACTCACCAGCTCCGCCTCTGTTGATTGGCTGTCTCCGTGGAAGTCAGCCAAGATTTAAAGGGATGCCAGCGATTGCTCTTTTGAAAAACCGTACCAGTCCCACTGTGGGTGGAGAAATAAATGGTCTTTCTCCTCCTCCCTCCAGTTTTTTCCTGCCAAAAGGGGGCTGGGTGGCTGTGTCCTGAGGGGCCCTGGGGACCATGGGAAATGATCACTTGCAAGAAAAGGGCACCCCCAGGCCATTGCCTGGGGCTCTGCAGTGGAAGGTCCCTAATTTTTCTGTCCTGGAACTGAAAGGGAGAGGGACCAAGGCAGAGGCACAACTACCGGACCCCCTGGACGCTGAGGAGCACAAGGGAATGCACACACCTGCTCTCCAACACAGTGAGGAGATGGGGGCTCCGGCTGGGAGCACTGGGCAGGGTCTGTCCACCGGCAGACAGGGTAGAGCCCAGGCTCTGTCCCTGGCCAGGATCTGGGGCCGCTGTGGCCAATGCTGCGGGTCCAAGCGACCCCTGCTGGCTGTGTGTGGAATCACGCCATGTCTTCAGAGGTACACTTAATGGTACACAGGCCCCCTTGAGTGTCCTGTTGAGTCCTCTCCACACCATTACACAAAATGGGGAGACGTCCCTGGAGATTCTTCAAGATCTTCCAGCCAGATGTCCCCCAACAGTCTGGCTCCTTCCCTGAATCTCACCTCAAACTCTAATGTAGAAACTTGCCCCATTGCCCTGGGAGACGACCACCCATATCACCTGGGGAACTATCTAAAATCCCCAATTCCCATCCTTGCAAACCTGAAGGCTCTCAGTGAGTGGCCAGAGGCTGGCCAAGAATCTAGTCCCACTGGACAGGGTCTGAATTTGAACATCTCATCCCAGAAGCTTGGGGTTGGGCCCTTAGCCAAGCTTAAAAAGGATCAGTGAGGTTAGAGGATTCAAAGACACAGAAACAGGAAGGGCTGAGATCATTTAGTACCCATCTGGGCAACAAGGCCACATGGGCATTGGGATTTCAGGTATAGCTGTATCCAGCTGCTCTGGGCCAGGCTGGCTTTGTAGAGCTGAGCAGAGGCCAGTCCAGTGGAGTGGACTCCAGGCTCAGTCACACAGTGGTATTCAGTGCAAGGCTGGCCTGGGCCATGGGGCTTCCGTGCCCCAGCAGGATGGGCATGTCTCTGGGAGCTTCCAAGCCACAGCATCAGAGAGGTTCAGGACAGCCTCAAGACAGTCCTGTGCCAGGGTTCATCAAGGCGGCCCCATGGCTCTCAGCTCCTCCTCCACAGCAGGATCTGTGGCTTCCTCAGGGCCCCCGGCAGCCCAGGGCCACCTTGCCCTGGCCCTGCCACTGGAACTTCTCGTGGGCATGATCCAGATCCTCCAGCACCTCCAGCAGGTGGGCAGCTGCTGCTCTCTGCCGGGCCAGAGCCTCTGAGCAGGGCCCTGGGGGGACACAGGGTGTCGGGTTGCCAGGGCGGCAGCCAGCACTGGGCAGACTGCAGACTGGGCTCGGGCCCTGAAAACCCCCACAAGTACCGGCACCCCCACAGCCCGACTGGGGCCTGGAAATGGAGGGTGGATGGGGGGCACGGGAAGAGACGGGGACTCCCTTACCCTGCCCTGTGTCTGCCTCCGAGGCTGCGTCAGGGTTGGGCTCCTCCAGGACCGTCAGCCTAGAAGTGGATGGGGAGAAACACAAGGCTGGGTCCGATTCCCCGTCCTGCCCCAAACCCAGAGGCGGCTGCAGGAGTAATTACAGGTTCCCCAAATCATCCTCAGTGCAAACAGTTTCAGCGTGGCAGACGCTGCCCTAAGCCCTTCACGTGTAGTAACTCTAATGATCACGCCGAATTGCCAGAGGTGCGCGTGACAGATAAACACGACACAGAGAGAGGTAACACGTGACAATCACTATTGCGTACTGAAAGACGACTGTGTGTCCAGGTCCCCAAAAAGGGCTAGATTAACTCCTCTGTCAGGCAGGTACGCCTACCGTCCTCCTTTCCTGTAGGAGGTCGCAGAGCCAGCAGGTGGCTCACTCAGGATCGGAATCCAGGAGTCCCTCGGGAATGGGCCGGGACAGTTCCGCCTCACTCAGTAAACAGGGACCTTAAGGCCGGGAGGGGAAGGGAACCAGTCGAGGGCACACGGCAGGCTCAGGAGGCCAAGGTTTTCCGTGAATTGTCCCCGTGATGGAGCCTGGGATGGAACCATCTGAAGGCTCAACTCTGCCTCAGGACCCAAAGACGACGCCCCCCAGGGCCCGGGCCTGTCCCTCCCCGGCGGTCACAGGAAGTGGAGCGGAAGTGGGGTCGCGCACCTGAGCTGGTCCCGCCCCAGAAGCAGTTGCCTGTAGACCATCTGGGCCTCAGCATCGGGGTCCAGGGGGTCGCTCCAGTCCCCCAGGGTCACAGCCGCATGAGTGCGGCTGCAGCCGGCAGCTGCGGAAACAGGGACGCAGCGTCATCGGGATCCGGGAGGCCACAATGACCAGGGGTCTCCATGCCCTGCCCTACATCCGCTAAGATCCTTCCGTGAGACTGGTCCTCCTCCGCTCTAGAGCCCCATCTCACAGCTGAGGAAGCGGAAGCTCAGTGAGGTTAAGTAACTTGCCCAAGGTTGCACAGCCCGCCCAGGCAGAAGTGAGACAGCCACTGAGGTGTGGAGGGCGGAGCCAGTAGGAGGCCCCGCCCCTCACCTGAGCGCTCGGCCTGGAGGCAGCAGGTCCAGCGCCCCCCGCGGAAGGCCCCGGGGTGGCAGGCAGCCAACTTGTCCTGGTTGGGGGCGCTGGCTTTACGCAGGGCCGACAGCCACTGGTTGAGATCATTCACATTCTGCAAGGGGATAGGGCGGTCATGAGCTGGGGCGGCCTCCAGGTCGCCCTCACCTCTCCTCGCGGGCCTCACCTTGCACTGGAGGTAGGTGGTGTGCAGCATCCCCGCGCTGTCCTGCGTCACCACCTGCATCACGTGTGGCAGCTGGAAGGCGCCCTCGTCCACGCGCTCCACAGCGCAGATGTGCGACACTGGGATGGAGGTGGGAACCTGGGGACAAGGTTTTCTCTGCAGATAGGCTCGGACCAGGGACAGCTTTCCCAGTGGGTGTGCACCAGGTAGAAGCCCTGGGGCAAGGACTTTCAACCGTGTGTGTGTGTGTGTGTGTGTGTGTGTGTGTGTGTGTGTGTGCGCGCGCTCTGCATCCCACAGTCCTGCCCCATCACTGCCTAAGGGACAGGGCTTCTCTGGGCCTTGGTTTCTTTCATCGCCGTCACCACCACCACCACCATCACCACCCCCACCATCACCGTAACAGCCGTTTCTATGGAAGGTGCTCTAAGTACATCCTAGCAGTCGATGTCCTCGGGTTGGGTCTGTCACTGTCCCCAGCTTGTGGATGAAAAGGCTGGGGACAGGAAGCCAGTGCCCCCCCAAGGTCGCTCAGCGGGACCCCAGGGAGCTGCTGCCTGAGAGAGAGGGAGAGCGCAGAGAGAGGGAGCCCAGCAGGGGCTGCTTCGTGCCGTGGAGACACGGGTGCCCCTGACTTGCTCGCGTGCTCCCCAGGACTCCTCCTGGCAGCGGGAGGCGCTCAGAAGTGGCTGAGTGAGTGAATGGGGGAGCAGGCGCCTGGGCGGTGTCCACGCGGCCGGCCCGCCGGGAGCGAGCGCCCCATCTTACCCGATCCACGCTGCGGAGATCCTGTCGCGCCGCCCTGGCCCCCAGCGGGGAGCAGACCGGAGTTGCTCCGCGGCTTGGCCTTTGGGGACCTGTCCCTGCCCCGCAGCGGGAGCTCACCTGCCCCTCGGGACCCTTGGCGTAGGACAGCGTCTCCCCGCTGAGCCGGAAGTAGCGCTTCTTGAAGGCAAAGCGCGCGGCCAGGCCGCCGGACTCCTCCTTGCGCTTCAGCAGGAAGCCTTCTCGGACGGTCACCGAGGGCGGCACCAGGGCCCTGGCAGGGCCACCAGCCTCTGGGACCGGAGAGGAAGGTGAGGACAGCGAGCCAGGGGAGGAGCACTGACTGCACTCCGCCCCTCGCTGGCCTGGGCAGCACGGGCAGGCGGGCCTGGTCCCGCTCCAACCTGGGGACCTGTGGGGCGCAGGCAGGTGGCCACTGGGGGAGCTCAGCCCCATGTGCATCCTGCACAGGCCTCACCATGCTGCAGTCTGGGTGCTAGGTTTCCACAAGTTGCTGCCAGGGGACTACAACCCAAGGGGTTTAGGCCCTGCCATGTCCTGACCCACAAAGGGAAATGGACTCAACCCCACGTCCTCTTCTCCATTTCACCCAAGTCAAAGCCAAAGTCCTGCCCACGCCCGCCATCCAGCCTCTCACCTCTCCTCCACCCTCCACCCCCTCATTCACTCTTCTTCCTCTTGCCTCTGTTCCTACCTCAGGGCCTTTGCTCCTGCTCTGTCCCACCTGGAGTTCTTCCCAAGCTGCTCGGAGCCTCCTCCTGTCCTCCCCAGGTCTCGGTCCTCACGTCACCCAAGTGAAGCCATCAGCCTGCCTTCCTTCCCTCAACATTCCTGTCCCTCCTTTATGTCCCATCCCTAACACACAGAAGCTGCTTGTTCTTGTCTATAGCTGTGGTTCCCACTAGAACAAAACCTGTGACCACAAGAACTCCTGTCTCATTTGCTGCTGTGCCCCAAGAGCCTAGAAGAGTGCCTACTAGGAGGCACGTGATGGATTTTTCTGGTGGCATGCACCCTATGTCATGCTCCTAGCCATGCACCCATGCTGGCCGGGATGGCCTACAGGACAAGCTCTGAGCTCTACTCATCTCCAGCAGATGTTAGTTGATTGACTAGCTGATCCACGTGCCCACATTCTCAGTGCTGAGAAGTGGGGACTCGGCAGGGCCGGAGAGAGTGATCTGGTGTTCTCAGGGGTGGCAGGGCCATGGGAGCTCACCCTCATCCTCCTGCACATCCACCAGCTGGTCCAGGAAGTCCCTCACGCGGGCAACACTTTGCAGTAGGAAGGGGTGCAGGGGCGCCATCCACAGTTCCTTGCCCTGGCCAAGCTGCTGGCCCAAGTTGCCAATGCTCTGCACAGCCTGCGGAAGGGGCAGGTGCCGGGGCTGAGTCAGGCGGACCTCAGAACAGGGCTGGGGCCAGGCGCTCAGATCAGGGCCCAGGGAAGGGAAATCAGCCCAACACAGGCTTGGGAGGCATCTGCTCTGTCCTCCCCCTTTGGAATCTATACCCAGGGCCTTTATTCTGTTACCCCCCAAGCCTAGACTTACAGGGCTTCCCAGCCCTACCCTGCATAAGGAGCCCATGAGAATCTCAAAGTGCTGCCACTTGCTAAGGGCGGTCTAATTCATACTAATGGGTAAGTGATTGCCAGTCTGCTTTGCCCACCCCCGGGAAGGGCTGATGTTCGATTATAAAAGAGCAACCCAGAGAGCAGGAGGAGGGCACTAGGATGGACTGTGGAGGGTGGGCTTCACACTTGGGCTCCGTGGGGCATCTGGGGACCTGCTCCTGTCCTGTTTCTCCCTGGCTGAGACCCCGTGAAGGGGCCCGTGGGGCGGCACCTTGGCCAGCAGCAGCAGGGAGCGGCTGGTCTGGGGGTCGGCGTGCTGGTCCCGGAGGTCAAACAGTTTCGGTGTGAGGATGGCCGGTGCAAAGAAACGCAGGAAGAGAAACCCGCTGACGGCCAGGTACTTCACATCCTGCGGCGGGAACAGCAGGTGAGGGGCCCGAAGCCCACTCCCAGCCGGGAAACTGAGGCAGAAAGGACCGAAAGTCGGGGGTCTGGAGGAGGTGGGGGCAGATGGGTGGGCAGAGGTCAAGGGACATGTTCTCCACCACACAGCCGACGGGCCGGGAGCAAGAGTCAGCCCAGAGGTGCGAGGGCAGCAGGCCAGCACTGCTCCGGGGCGCCTGGCCCTGGGAGGGCGTCTCCTGGCCACACACAGCAGGTGCGGAGGCCCAGGGACACGGAGCTCCCGGGCGAGATGTGGGCTCCTCCTCAGCACCCGCTCCTGCCATTCACCCCCAGCTCCCGGGAGCCCCGGCTGAGCCTCCCGACTTCGCCAGAACTCACGTCGGGTCCCACATCACAGCACCCCACTTTCCAGAAGCAACCAAGGCTCACGGTGAACTCCGGCCAACAGGCTGCAGAGCCCACTCGGCTGTGCGCCCTCCCGAGTCCTGGCCTCGGGCCCCACACCGCTCCCCCCCCCCCGCTTGCCCGAGAACGTGCTCCCGCATTGATTTTCGTGACATTCACACCAAGACGGTCCCCTCCCTGGGCCGGGAAGGAGCTGGGCACTGGGCTGTCCAGAAGGGGCTCCCCAACATCTGGAGCCCCAATCTGCCACTTCCCACCAGCCAGCTCACTAAGCTCTTGGTGCCGGCCCATTAACACCCTTCATCTTTACATCCGGCAGAGGGGACGGGATGGGTGCGTCCCTGTGGGCCCGAGAAAGCCCCAGCTCCCTGCGCCTCTCAAGGCTGAGCCGTGAGGGATGCTGTGAGGCCCTGATGTCAGCTCCCCTCACAGGGCTGGGCCGCCTGCGGAGCGGCCCCCTCCCTCCCCTCCTGTCCCACTTAACACCTCCCCGGCAGCCAGGTGACAGGCGGGCAGGCAGAGGGGTGACAACAGGCCCCACCAGCGGGGAGAGGGGGATGGGAGCGGCCCGGCCAGGAGCCTGGGGGACTAGGTCTGAGTCCACCACCTTCCACCAAGTTGTTTTGACCTCTCCAGGCCTCCGTATCCCATGTGAAAACAGGAAGTGTGGAGAGAGGGGCCTCCACCCAACACCCCACCCAGGCTCCAGGAACCGGGCTGTTCCACCTCCCACAGTCGGTGGCTTTGTGCAGAGTGAAGCCCGGGGCTGCGCTCCTGTTACTTTCTCACTGTGTAAGAGTCTCACCGGATGTCACTTGTAGGAGAGGACGACAGCCACCTTGCAAGGTGTGCTGGGCAAGGAACCGGAGGACAATCGACCTAAATGTGACAATCGATCGTCCCAGAGTCTTTCTGGTTTTGTTTAGATGAATTAGTGCGGATTACTTCTTTTAGTACTGGGGAGTGAACCGAGGATCTTAGCCCTGAGCTGCATCCCTGGCCCTTTTTACTTTAGTTTGGTTTTTTTTGTTTTTGTTTTTCATTTTGAGTCAAGGTCTCACTAAGTCACTAAGCTGCCCAGGTTGGACTCAAATTGTGATCCCCCTGCCTCAGCCTCCCTTAATACTGAATTTATAAGCATGGGCCACCAGGTCCAACAGCACTGGCATTTTAAAAATGAGAAACTTATATAAGAGCTAGGATGTTAGCTTAAAAGAAGAAACACTCGTTGAGCTGTGGTTGTACCAAGTCCCCATTCCTCTAAGGGCACCGTGGTTTAGGGCGCCCCTTAGAGGACCCTTGGGAGCTGCCGTTCCCACAGGATCCCCCACTCCTGCCGCCCCACACCCACTGTGATTACAGACCTCACCTCCCTGACCCTCCAGCTCCTGCATCAAACACAGTAGGGCAGCAACATTCTTTTAGATCTTAGTTTAGCACTAAGTTGCTTTTTTTCAGGGGGGGCATCAGGGATCAAATTAGGGACCTTGAGCTTGCCAGGCAGGCTCAGCACCACTGAACTACATCCCCGGCCCTTAGATCTTATTTTGTTTCATTTTGTTTATTAGAAACAGGGCCTTACTTGCAGTTCAGGGTGGTCTTTAACTCACTCTGCAGCCCAGGCTGGCATCCAACTCACAGCGATCCTCCTGCCTCAGCCTCCCCAGTGGGCCACCACACCCAGCTATTTGGGGGTTTTTCTATGGAGCACCAGAGTCCCCTTCTCACCCCCAGCGCTGCACTGGGCTCTAACATTTAGTGAATGAGGAGCTGGCCCTTACCAGCTGTGCAACTCACTCTCTCTGGGCCTGTTTCCTTCTCTGTAAAATGGATATAATACTGGAATCCACTTCAGAAGGTGAGTGTGAAGATTAGAAAATGAAGACAGAAATCTCTTCCAACAAGACCTGGTAAGGGCTGCACAGTGCGTGAGCCGCTGTGGTCATTATTACAGTGACTGTCATCAGTGCTCCCCGCCCCGGAGCCCAGACGCTGCCCCACTTCAGTCAGAACAGGCCTGCACTCAGCCCCTGTGCCCCGGCCCGGAAGTCACCTCATGCTCGGTGGCAGGGAAGTGCTCCTCCACACACTGCCGCAGCCTCCGGAAGGCCAGACGCATGGTGGGTGGGCAGCGCCCCGCAGAGCTGACCACGGCATCCACGATGAGCCCCAGGTAGCCGGTCAGCAGCCCCAGGCTGGTCTCCCGTACCTGCTCTTCCGACGGCATACCCTTGAAGGAGATCCTCCTGGGGGACACAGAGCCACTCGGTCTGGGGGCTCAGAACCCCCTGGGCTGAGCACCCCACATCCTCTCCCCACCTCGATTCTCGCTGTTGTTGCTTAAACACACGAGCTTACTCCATCTCTGAGCCTTCGCAGTGGCAGTTCCCCTTCCCCCAAGGCACTCTTGTCCCTCCATTCAGTTTAAACATCACCTCCTCCCAGAAGTCATCCTCCCCATCGCTCAACATCTCAGCATGGCTGTGCCAGACACCTGTCCCAACCCCAGGGCCTTTGCACTTGCTGTGCCCCCTGCCTGGACAGCCTCCCACCAAGTCCCCAGAACTCTCTCTCTCTCTCTCTCTCTCTCTCTCTCTCACTGCCTTCAAGTCTGCCCGAACATCCCCTTCAGTGTGAGGCTGTGCCTGTCACCACCCTGTGGCATACTGTGATCCTCACCCAGGCTTTACTCTCTTCCCTTCCCCAGACCATGTTCAATAATCTTTCTTTCTTATCTGTCTCCTCCAGAATGGGGATCTGTCCTTTATTCCCTGGGCTCAACAGTGGCAGTGGAGCATGGGTGGCCTCTGACATCCTGTCATTTAATGCTTGTGGTGACCTCATGGGTTAAGTAGCCTGACTGATCCCATTTAACAGAGAAGGAAACAGGCTCAGTCAGAGAGGCTGCCTTGCAAATAGGAATGGGGCAAAGTGGATGACTGAAGACTGCCAGCTCCGGCGTCTGCCACCACCCTGCCCTGCCCAGATCCCTGGGTGCCTGTCCCTGGAGCACCCACGGAGTCTCCTTAGGCCCCTCCCCTTGGAGCCACAGACGGACCCTGCCCCTCTGCTCAGTTTCTGGGTTCAAATCCCGCCTTTGCCACTTTCTGCTGTGCGGCCCTAGGCGGATGTCCTCTGGCTCTGAGGCTCGGTTTCCTCATCTGTACAGCAGGGTCCCGATACCTGCCTCGGGGGTGGCTGTAGGGTGGGCAGGACCCAAAGGGAAGGACAACCTCTCTCTGGTCCCCACCACGGTCCTGTCCCCACCCATCCTGATGAAAGCTGCGGGCGCTCCGGGCGCGCTCTCCCGTGGCTGGACTCGCAGAGACAGCTCCACTCATGTTCACAATGACCCTCGCCTCAGGCGACGTCCTAAGGTCCAGGACACGGAAGACCAGGATTCGAACCCAGTGAGCTCCTGCCAGAACCAGTACACTGCATGGCTCCGAGATTACACCCCAGCCCCCTCGGCTTGGCTCACCTGGCCCGGCCCAGGTCCATCTTGCCAGGGTCCAGCTCCATGTACTTCTTCTCTTCAAACACGCGGTTGAGGACAGGCTTCAGCACCTCGTGCAAGTAGCGCATGCCCACGAGCTGGGGGTGGGGCCACAGGGTGGCTGAGGGTGGGAGAGGCGGGGCCACAGGGGTCGAGGGCGGGGCCCCCTGCATGGAGTGGGGTCACTGGGCAGCTGGGGGTGGAGTGGGGCGGAGCCGCCCGCACAGGGGCGGGGCCCTGGGGACCCGGAGGTTTAGGTGGGGCGGGGCCCCCTGCATGGAGTGGGGTCACTGGGCAGCTGGGGGTGGAGTGGGGCGGAGCCGCCCGCACAGGGGCGGGGCCCTGGGGACCCGGAGGTTTAGGTGGGGCGGGCCGCCTTGCTGGGCCCAGGATCACAGCGAGGTAGCCGGGCCTCTGAGGCCCTGCGGGGCCAGCCAAGCACTGGGAAGGGGCCCCACACACACCGCGGCCGCGCTGGGACCCTCTACACCGACACCTTCTCACCTTCATGAACTGCTCCACGGCCTTGGACGCCAGAGAGTTGGAACGGAAGAGGGTGTTGGGGTCAGCTGGGAGTACACATGGAAGTGTTTGCTGAGATTTGGGGGCTGCTCCAACCTGCCGCAGTCACCCAAGGTGGGTGACATGATCCTTCCAGTCCCGAGAATCAGGGGCGCCCCCAAACGTCAACTGTTCCCAGTGCAGAGGCCCCAAGTGGTCAGGCAAGCTGACTGGGGTCACAGGCTCACAGTGGAAACTAGGAGTGCGCGGCCCCAGGACCCCCGTACGCAGGTGCCCGCCCTCAGCCTAAGCCCCTCATCTCCCGGTCCCCACAGAGTGACTTCAGGAATCCGTGCGGGGACTCACTGGTCCGAGCCACCTCGCGCCGGGTGAGATAGTCCAGAAAAGGCCCGGCCAGACCCTGGCCGAGAAACAGCTTCACCAGCTTGGTGGCAAGGTCCTGGCGACAGTCGCCTGAGGTCAGCTCCTCCAGCACAGCCAAGGGGCTGGCAGTGTCCTCCTGGGCAGGGAGAGGAGGCCGGGTGACCTGGGGCCCTGGGATGCCCGAGCGGATGAGCCCCACCGCCAGGCCCAGAGCACCCGCACCCACCTCGGGCGAGCCGCGCACGGACTCCAGCAGCAGCGCCATGAGGGGCCGGTAGTACTGCGAGGGCAGGACGCGGTCCTCGGCCAGGCGCACCTTCAGCCGCAGGGCTCCCAGGCTGCCTCTGCCAGGTCAGACCGCAGGTCGGCAGGTGTGAGCACGGGTACGGAGCGTGGACAGCAGCACCACCCGGCAGGCGCGAGCAGGCGTGACGGACATCGATGGGATGGGTAGGAACGGACAAATACCCACTGTGTACCAAGTGTGGCCGGCGTGGAAAGACCAGGCCAGCACCGGCAAATGTGTGTAGACCAGTGGGTGCGGATCTGTGAACACCTGCACAGGTGTGCACAGGTGTGAACTGATGCCAGCAGGTGTAGACAGGAACACAGAAGTAGAGACGGTGAGGTAGTGTGGCCCGTGTAAATTAGCACAGGGACAGATGTGGGCAGGTGTGGGAGGACCCAGAGTTCTGAACACAGCACGTGTACACTGGTGGACGGGAATAAAATGACCTCACACGGGTGGGGCTGAACACACCAGAAGAGACACTCCAAGACACCCCTTAAAGGGGACGGGTGATGATGGATGGGAAGAGCAGCCAATGAGACTGCGAAGGTTAACCCGCCGTCCCTCCCGCCTCACCCATATTACCCACAATCCTCCTCGGCACTGGGGAATGGCTGCAGGCGGAACCAGCCGTCGGGCGGCTTGTGTTGCAGGATCTGGGCGGGGAACTCCACCTGTGGCAGGACGTAGACTCTCAGCCTGCTTGGCCCAGGCTCCACCCGCCTTGGGAGAAGAGCTCAGACTGCCCACCCTCAACGGGCACCTCTCCTCCCTCTTGGTCCTAAGTCGTCAGCTCCTGCGGACACAATTTACAGCTAGGAAACTGAGGCTGAGGGAGGTGTTGTGCTGCACCCAACGTAACACTGCTGCTACAGACAGGATGTGGGGACTGGGAATGCTTTCAGCTCTGTTCAGGGACACAAATTGGGTCCACCGAAAAACGTAACGACCGTTCAGAGGGTCCCCAGACTCGACCTCCTCTTTTTATTTTTAATTTTTTTTTTCCAGTAACGGGAATTGAACTTAGGACCTTGCGCTTACCAGGCAGAGGCAACGCCACTGAGCTACATTCCCGGCTCTTTTTATTTTTATTTTTTATTTATTATTGTTGTTTGTTTTTTTAGACAGGGTCTCACTATGTAGTTGAGACTGACCTGGAACTCACTATGTAGCCCAGGCTGGTCTCGAACTCGCAGTGATCCTCCTGCCTCAGCCTCCAGCCTCACCGGCTCTTTTTATTTTTATTTTTTATTTATTATTGTTGTTTGTTTTTTTAGACAGGGTCTCACTATGTAGTTGAGACTGACCTGGAACTCACTATGTAGCCCAGGCTGGTCTCGAACTCGCAGTGATCCTCCTGCCTCAGCCTCCCGAGTGCTGGGACTACAGGTGTGCGCCACCATGCCAAGCTCAATCTTTTTATTTTTAAATAACTTCATAAACATACAATTCACCTGCTTAAAATGTACGACTCAGTGGGTGTTCACACATTCACAGAGTGGTGCAAGCATCACCACTGATTTCAGAACATTCTCAGACATCAGCCCCTGAGTAGCCTGAGGTATCAGCACCTTCCCCTCCCCCAGCCGCTTTCTGGGTCTAGATTTGCCTGCTCTGGACATTGCATATAAGCAGAGTCCATATGGACTGACTTCTTCCTCCAAGGGTCATAGCTTCAAGGCTCACCCACACCGCAGCATGAATTATTGCTTCATTCCTTTTCAAGGCTGAGTAATATTCCACCATGTGGATATGCCACGTTTTGTTCACCTATTTGTAGACATCTGGGCTGTGCCCTCTTCAGGCTACTATAGATAATGCTACTATGAACTTTACTCTCAAAGTAGCTATCTACAGGTGGAGTTTTGGACCCAGTGATAACTTTGTCTTTAACAGGTTGAGGACCTGCCAGCCATTTGCCAAGGTAACCTTGCCTCTTTATGTCACAGCTGGCAGCTGCGACCACGCCTCCCTCTCCCTCCTCCAGTCTGGCCTCCTTCCATGAGGCCACTTGCATTCACAGCCATGGAGGGGCAGTGGCAGCCACACTCATCTTTCAGCTGGAGGAGGAGGGAGAGACTTGGAGCTCAGGTGGGTGACTGCAGTAGGGAAGTCAGGGCTCAGGTTCCGGGGTTTAGGATCAGAGGCCTGAACTCACTCCTAGCTCTGCCATTTCTGTCCTGACCATGAGAAAGCCACTCCACCTCCCAGAACCTCCATCACCCGGCTGCCCAGGGACCCTGATCAGCCAGCCCGCATGTCCATCCTCCCAACCCCCAGGAGGCTCGGCCCTTCTTGCCCTCTGCCCCCCAGAGGCACTGGGGAGCCATAGAGGGTGCTGCAGGGAGGGATGCTCACCATGCCCAAGAAGTCATTCTTGCCCACCATGTCCCAGTCCCATAGTTCCACCCGCAGTGGGGTGGGGGAACCCGGCACCTCCCGGAGCTCCAGCACCTCGTCCCAGTGAGGGAAGCGCGTCTTCTTGATGATCTGGGACAGGAGAGTGACCAGAAGTGAAGGAGTAGGTGGGCCGCCCTCTGCCAGATGCCCCACCCTTGCCACCCGGCTGGCCACTCACCGAGCTCTCCAAGCTCTGGCTGCCCCAGAATATGCGGGCAAATGGATCTGACGTGCCGGACATGTCTCGGGGGGCCAGGTCCCTGGGCAAAGAGGAGGCGAGGCATGAGGGGACACAGGACCCTCGAGGGCTGTGGCCAAAAGTGGGCCTTGAAAAGGGGTGCCAGGTAGATCGTGCAAATGCCATTGGTTTCCATGGCACCAAGCCATCCAATCCCAGCACCTCTGGTAACCTCATGCACCCCAGGAGGAAGCACTAGTATCTTCCTCTTCGCAAAGGAGGAAACTGAGGCACAGAAAGATCAGGCCCAGCATCACAGCCCAGCAAGTGAAGGTGGCATGCAGAGGGAAAAGGGAGACTCCGTCTCCTGAGGCCCTGGAAGGGGACCAGATGCAAGATTCCCACGCCTGGCTCTGCACTCATTGGCTGGGTGACACTGGAGCTTCTGTTTTCTCATCTGCAAAATGGAAATGCTATGAGACCAACCTCATGGGGCCCAGGGTAAAACAAGATGTGGCTGCAAAGTGCTTAGCACAGCATTTATTCATTCAGCAAACCCACACTCAGTTTACCATGCTCTGATACCCACACTCAGCTTGGGAACACAAAGAAGATGCCAGACAGGAAGCGCCAGCTTCTGGTTGCCATGGCAACTCAAAAGCCTCGCCCAAGTCAGCTTCCCATACTTCCTTCTTGAAGCCCCCAAATCCACAACCCCCCCACACACACCACCACCAGCGACTGCTTGCTTCCTCCTTCAGCTCCCTTCCCAGCCCGGCTCTGCATCCAAAGCCTTTGGTTTCCTAGGAGCCCACACAGTTGCTAAGCGACAGCAATTGGTCCCTTACAGGCTTGGGAGGATCCTGCACAGCCCTGTGGCTGGGGAGGGGGCCCTGGGCAGAAAGCACTGAGGGGCAGTGGTTCCCTGCTTCTGTGGTTCTCCCTCATCCAGACCCCGGGAAGCCGACTGGGGCCAAGGCGGGGGCCGAAATCTACAGGTGGTGAGAGACTCAGAGAGGGCAAGGAGGGGCTTCGTGGTCACACAGCAAGCTAGAAATAGATTCTCCCCAACCTGGCCTAGAGGGTGGAGAGAGGTGTGGGGAAAAGCCAGGAAGATGGAAGATGGGAGGGACCGGAAGGGTCTGAGAGCCCGGAGGGGAAGCGATGCCAGGGATACCCTTGAGCTGGAGGCCCTGGGGGCCGTCTGTGAGCTTTGCTCATCCCCCATCTGTCTTCCTCACCCTTTTTCTTCGGTACAGGACCCACCCTGCCTCACTGTCCACCTCTGGCCACGTCCCTTTCTCCCTTCCCGGACCCACCAGTCATTGCGACAGGCTGTGAAATCACCTGTGGCCCAGAGTGAGTCTACGACACCGCTGGTTGGTGCAGTCAAGTAGGTAGGAGGCCAGCCCAGGACTCCTGGGGCCATTCTGCCCCTGCCAGGAAGAGGCTGCCTGGGAACGAAGCTAACAAAGAAGACAGCACAGCCCAAGACAGAGACTCCGGGGCACCACCGGAGCACCTGGATCCAGCCGCACCTGACGTCACCACTAGCCCTTCTGCTACAGCCAGGATGGACCGAGTACCCGCCTGCCATAATTTGGTTACTGCACCCGCAACTCATACCCTGGCCATGTGGGGGTCTGGCCTCTCATGACCTGTCTGGGGACCCGGTGAGCTTGGCTGTGCGCGCACAAAAAGGTCCTGCTGTGAGCCCAGAAGCGTCCCAGCAGTGAGGGTCCTGAGGCCAGCAGCAGGGAGACCCGGGGGTGCCTGCTGTCTCCAGACTCCCACAACGTGTCCACCAAGACCCACCTGGCCTGCAGCAGGTGGCAGCGAAGACAGCGGCCATGCACATCCTGCAGCAGCCGCACCGCCAGGCGGACCTCACCCTGCACCTCGGCGTCCGGGTTCACACGGCTCAGGTTGATCCAGCTGTCGATCCCTGCAGGCACAGGCACGACGTATGGCACACCTACCGCGTCCTCACGTGTGTGTAGTGTGCATCACGTGAGCTAAATGCTCCCTGGCCATTAAGCATTTCAGTTGGTTGGTTTGTGACAGAGACTCACTCGGTTACCCAAGCTGGTTTCAAGCTTGTAATCCTCCTGTCTCAGCTTCCCCAGTAGCTGGAATTTGCAATCATGACATTGAGCTTCTAATTTTTCATTATCATTTTTAATCCTTGAAGGTCTAATTTGAGGAATTTTTTTTTTGCTGTTATTTCTGACCTTCCTTGGGATGATATCTTTTATCTCTAAATATTTGATTATTTAGAGCCATGTGTGGTGGTGCACACCTGTAATCCAACACTCTGGGAGGCTGAGGCAGGAGGATCCCATGAGCCTGGCCTGGGCAATTTAGCAAGACCCTTTCTCAAAACAAAAATAGTTTTTAAAAGGGCTGGGGTTGTAGCTCAGTGTAGGGCCCTGGGATTAATCCCCAGTGCCACAATAAATGTGTGTGTGAATGAATGAATGAATGATTTTTTTTAAGCCTGGTATAATACGATGATGAAAGCTGGGAGCTGCCCTGCTGCTGGCTGCTCCCAGGGACTCCGGCTCCAGTGGCCCAGGTCCCTGGGTGTCTGGTGACTGGGGCACTGGGACGCTGAGGTCCTGGTCACGCAGGGTCTCGCTGTGATGCGGCGAGGGGCATTGGCGGATCTGCACCACAGCTCCATCTCGCGTTGCTCTGTCACTGCAACCCCCAGGTGCGACCCCAGGTCGTGAATCCCATCGGCTCCCCGTCCCTCGATAACAGCACCAGAGTCCTGACTCTGCAGTCAGTCTCCTGTCACTCCCACTCCTGATAGTGTAGCTCCAATCACTGTCCTGCTCAGGAACCATCAAGGGCTCCCCACTGCCCCCAGAAGAAAACCCATCCCGGCCCAGACAGCCCTGCCACCAACCCGGCCCAAAGCTCCATCTACCTCTGCCGATGCCCAGCCTGGGACGAGAAGCTGGCTCTGAGGACTGATCCTTCCCACCCTGCAGGAGCCTCCAGACCCCAGCCAGCACCGGGCCGTCCGCAGCGCCCACCTCCGGGTCCCCCCAGGCACAGCCCAGTTAAAAAGTAAACAGACCCCATGCACGCACAGCGCTCTCTGCCCATCCACCCTCACTCCCTGTGCCGTGGGCTGGAGATCTGGCTGCGGGGACTCAGGTAACAGCCCTAGCCCCACGCAGCCCTTGTGAAATAGCAGCAGAGACCATCACCATGGCCAGCACACAGTGGGTGCTGGGCTCATTGCCTCTGAGGAAAAAATAGATCACCTAGTAAAGCGTGCTGAGGGAATCTGTAGACAAAAGTAGTAAAGCTCTATCCCAACCCCACACAGTATCTCCGGACACATTCCAAATAGGTCAGACACTTAAATGTTTAAAAATGAAACAAATGGTTGCTAGGAGGCATCGTGTCAAAACATTTTTGCCGGCAGACATGATGGTGCCCGCCTGTCATCCCAGCACTCTGGAAGGCTGAGGCAGGAGGATCACAAGTTTGATCCCAGCCTGGGCAATTTGGCAACTCCAGACCTTGTCACGAAATAAAGAATAAAAAAGGGTGGAGATGAGCTTGGTTTAATCTCCAGTACCATAAAAAAGGTTACCTTAATCTTAGCGTTGGAAGCTTTTCTTTTGCCTTTGCTTGTTCATTTGTTTTTAGGGTGCTAGAGATCAAACCCAGGCCGCGTGCTGCGCCCTGAGCTATACCCCTAACTCCAGGGAAGACCTTTTTGTGAATAAAGAAAATCAACAGTGTATACACACACACACAAACACACACACACACACACACACACACACACACACTGAAGGGGACTACAAAAGAAAAGAAAATTATAGAAAAAATAAGCAAGGTCAAAATGTAAAAGGCAAAGAGAAAAATCTTTGAGGTTTATATGACAGATCCTGGGTTAATTTCCCTAATATATAAAGAGCTCCTGAAAACCGATAAGAAAAGGCAAAAAAAAGGCCAGGGATTTAGCTCAGTGGTTCCGCCGCCTGTCTCACAAGCACAAGGACCCAAGTTCAATCCCTGGTATCAAACAAACAAACAAACAAAAAAAGAGCCAGTAAGCAAAAACACACATCTAATATGGACAGGAGTGGCCAAAAGTGATCCTGAACGTGTTTAACATACAAAGCAGTGTTCGATCTCATGCGAGCAAGGATGAAATAAAGCTAGGCTCAAAGGCGCACCTTACCTACCAGATGGGATGTAAGGCCTGACAATCAACTCTGCACACAGCTGCGGGTTAGCAGATGCTGGCCTCCTCCTCCAGGAATCACCTAGCGACAGCTGTCAGACCCTCGCGCGAATGCGTGTGTTCGATCCCGCAAACCCACCTGTGAGAACCTAGCTGGCAGGCCGAGCGTGTGCGCATGTGTGAAACCACAGCGGCACCGGGCTATTTACCGCTACCCCGTGTGAACTAGGAAGACACTGCAACCAACTCGAGCGCTGCGGAGAGGAGCGAGCCAAGCGCATAGCGGTACAACTGCACCACCAAGTCCCATGACGTCCCGCAGAGCACAGGGCCTGCAGAAACCGCGCGGAGAGGTTACAGAAAGGCCTCCAAGGTACACGGAGGAGAAAAAAAAGTGAGGCGCTATTTGTGTAAGCAGAGAACACAAGTGCAAGGCACAGTCGTAACAGCTACACTCAGGAACCAGACAAGCTCGGCTCAAACCCTGGCCATGTGATCTTGGGGCGAATCACTTACCCTCCCGTGCCTCAGTTTACCCACCAAAAGCTGGGTGCCTCCTAGGGTTTACCTGAGCAGGGAGTGCATCGGTAAGGAGAGCACTCAGCGCTCAGTCTCTTTGAGTTTGCTGATGTTAGCATTGTTCTCCCTCGCCAGTGTTTCAAACACCTGCAGGGCTGAGTCAGGCACGGCGCACAGCCCTGCAGTCCCACCGCTCTGAGAGGCTGAGGCAGGAGGATTGAAAGTTTGAGCCCGGCCTGGGCAACTTAGCTATTTAGTGAGGCCCTGTCTCAAAGAAAAAATTAAAAGCTCAGTCAGGGGGAAGGCCCTGGGTTTGACCAGCAGTACAGTAGGGGCTTCGGGCAGTGAGGAGGAGGAGGTGGAAAGGGAGGCAGAGGAAGAAGGGCAGGGAGAGGGAAAGGGGCCTCTGGAAGGACACACGAGGCTGGCGGGTGACCAGCGTGGAAGGCAGTGAGCCCTAGAATGAGTTTCCTCCCGTGAACTCGATAAAGAAACTCGGCTAGAACCGAGGCCAACAGGAACGACTGTGCCCTCCCACCCCAGCCGCCGGGCCCTCACCCACCTCGGGGGTCCGCCATGATGGCCTCCTTGCTCAGGGAGATCTTGCCGATGACATCATCGTGCCTGCGGATGGTGACCGTGAGGCCGGGGCCGGGGCCCTGCCCAGCGTGGAGCAGGGGTGCTGGGGGCCCGGCTGTGTGGGGTGCCCCGTGCGCCCTGCCCTGGTGCCCACACTCACCCGACGGTGTCCTCGTCCAGCACGTAGAAGGCCAGGTGGTGGAAGTCCAGCGGTAGGTGCACCGTGTACTCCTCCCCCCAGAAGGGGCTCAGGCTGCGCCAGACGGTCGCTGTCCTGCAGGAGGGGCCGGGAGCAGGGCGGGACACAGGCGCCAAGCTCAGAGGCCGCACAGACAGACACCCACACGTGCACACCCGGATACTCTGAGACTCACCCAGAGACAGGGCAGCCAGAGGCAGAGGTGCACACCACACACACGTGTCCACAGGCATCTTGAAACATAGCCTCTGTGTCTGTAAACACAGATGCCCTCACCCAGATAGACACATGCCCGAAACGCGGGCAATCTCACACACCTGCAGCATGGCACAGCTGACACACACCATGCCACACACACACAGTTCCCCTCACACACACAATTTCATTGATTGCCCAGGCCGAGGGAGAGGTCCTGGGATAGGGTTGGCTGAGAGGCATCTGGGAGGGGTCAGGGGTTGGGACTTGGGGATTCCAGAAAGTTTCCTGCAGGAATAGGTCAAGTAGAAGGAAGAGAAACAGGGAGGACAAATGTTGCAGATCACCCACATAGCAGGTGCAAAGGCCCTGAGGCAGGAATGAGCAACTTCCTGTTCAAAGAACAGGAAGGTGTTTGGTAAGAAGGTGGGGACAACAGACAAAAAGCCAGGATGCTCTGACATCACTTGGAGCTTTGCAGCAGGCAGCAAGGGGAACTACAGGAGGATTAGGGACCCAGATAGGCCCAGAAATGGGGGGACACACACATGCACATGTATGCAACACACACACACACGCTGCCCAAGCAACCCAACTCAGGGGCACCACTGAAGCTTCTGCCCCTTTCATCCAGCCTCTTCCCATCTCCAGTCCCCTCAGGCTCCTCAGCCCAGAGAGGGAAAGACAGCATCCTGAGATCACACAGCACACCCATCTGCAGTGTCACAGAATGGAGCAGGGGCCACAGCCCGAGCACAGGAAAGTGGTGGGGAGGGGACAGCAGGGTGCCACAGCCAGCCCCTCCCCAGCGTGGGCAGCCAGCCCAGCTCCCCACCCATCTGGACCAGGACCAGCGCCAGGAGCATCCTGAATCCTGCCGTCTCCATAGGAACCAAGGCCTCTGTCGCCCGCCCACCACCCCCTCAGGCCTGTGGGGGCAGTGCTGTCCCTTGGCCTGTGGGGGCTGGAGAGCATGCCACTGTGTTCACACCGGCACCCATGTGCCCCCCGAACGAGCACACACCCTACACCTGGTACACACGCACCAGCCCCGGGGCCTGCACGCCCACCAGAGCACACACGCGTGATCCAGCGCTCACACCAGCCCTGCACCCCCGCGCAGCCCCGAGCGCAGGCCCAGCTGGCGGGCACACAAATTTGCTCACGCACAAACGATCGGTGCCCGCAGCCCC